CAGTGTACTTCGTAGATCAGCCTGTTCTGCTCCCCGCTCTCTCCCTGGTGAATCCTTCACCCTTTGCATCTCTGGCCTGTACCCCAGTTTTGTATGAATAAATAAATAAATCTTTAAAAAAAATTGGTTCTAAGCAGCTGGGTTAAAATAGTTACAGAATGAGTTACTGACTCAAACAAGAATAAAAAAGTCATTTTCTATTTTTGAGAATCATGCTTGTTCAAAATATTCTTAAAAACTTAAATGCAAGTAACCTTTCATTATATACACATAAATAATAATATGTATGTGTGTGTGTGTGTGTATATATATATGAATGGGAAGGGATGGATGATATAATTTTTAAATAGTGTGGGTCTGCTAATCTTAAGTAGCCTATCCAGCCTCCATTTGGTTACCTACAGTTCTGTAACAAAGCAAGGTAAGAATTGCCCAGTCATAAGAGCCCAACCCTACAACCCTACAAGGTGACTTTCATATCAATTAAGAGCATAAAGCTGGGTCACCCTGGGAAGCGTGGGCATCAAGAGGGAATGACCAGGAATTGGGGGGGGGGGGCGGTGCTGAGGACGGATTCATACGCATTACTTACTCCTGATTTATACATCAGGAGGTTAAGTCTGGGAACGCCCTGGGGGCCGGGCTGTTGACTGATGTATAAGGAAGGACTTCAGAAGTGGAATGCTTGGAATGCCTTATTGATAAAATTGAAATCCTGACTGGGAGTCAGGGCTGGATCCCAATGAAAAATACAGTTCCACCCTGCCCCTCCTTCCTCTGTTTCTCCCTTTCATCTTCTACTTCCCCTTTTGACCAAAGCTGTTTATCAATAAAAAGGCTAGGATCTTGCTCCGGCAGCATCCTGCATTATGTAGCCTGCTCCACCACTCCGGTTTCTTTATCAGTGTGGGGGTTGCTCAATGCAACAAAATAGGTAATTAAAAATAATTTGTTTACAACATGGATGGAGCTGGAAAAGATCATGCTTAGTGAAATAAGCCAGAAAGAAAAGGAAAAATACCGGATGGTTTCTCTCATAGCAGGAATATAACCGAACAGGCAAGAAAATAATGATAATAATGAACAGCTATATACCAAGAGACATTTCGCAGGGGTGGAGCGGGGAATGGGATCAAAAACAATGTGGGGTGGGAAATGCACTGGACTATGATGAGGGCACATGGGTGATTTGGTGATGGGAAACCCAAGGGATTGCAACTGAGATGGAAAAATGCATAAAAATATGTAAAAATAAATTATTAAAAAAATTGTTTAGCTTTAGAAAGCCTTATCATCCCACCATCACTTTTCTTTAATTATGTTTCTCTTAAACTAATAAAATTAACTTTCCATCCTCAAATGCAGAGTAACTGATTGAATAAGCGATGATTCCACATTTTGATAGGTGGAGGAGAAAAGTTGGTCTAAGCATTAAAATTTGAATTTGGATAATTCATATTATAGAAGTTGGCTGTGTTCATTTCATCAATGTTTTTGAGCCATGACTATTATTACACTATAGCAGGGTCTTTTACTAGGAAGCTTGTTCTAGTTATTCCCCTCTCCATCTCTTCTTAGTGTGGTGGTGGTAGAGGTGGGATAAATGTTGGCAAGGCCACTGCAGTGTTCTCTCAGATAGTTTTAAGATACTTAATGATGTTGTCTTTGGAGTTCAGGGTCCTTGGGTTCATTCTGGGAAAAGTTTCACCAGAGCTCCCCTTTCAGTGGCACACAGCGAGATTCTCCACAAGACAGAGACTCAGTTATATTTAAAGAGGAAGTTTATTAGAAAGAGACAGGAGGAAAGACACTTGCATAGGCACAAGTGGGCAGGAAGAGCTACGCCGGAAGGGACAGGTTTGCAGGCGTGCAGTTCTAGGAGAGCAGCCTCCACTGAGGAAGGTCAGTGCAGAGAGGTACCGGCATGGTACAGGTCACAGACAGGAAGGACGCTGCTGCCCTGCAGGGGGAGAGAGTGGGTAGAAAGAAGCATCTGCATAGGCACAGGTGGGCAGAGAAGTGGCTGCCCCGAGCTGTGGAGACACTGCCCTATTATAGTCCACTCCCTGTGAGCCTAGGTTGGTTGACTTTGAATAGAATCTGAAGAGATTTCTGCTGACCTTCATCTCCATATCCTTTTGTTTCACTTTTTGGATTTGAGCTTCAGACACAGCCCCCAACAGTCTGTTATCTGCTGGGAATTCCTGCAGATATTCAGGCATCCCGGGGCATCCCAGCACAGGCTGACCTTGATGTTATGGCTGTGTCAGTTGCTGCACTAACCCCTTGAACCCATCCCCTTTGTGATGCCTCCTCTCCATTCCTCCCTCCATCACTTAACACAAATTGATTTTCACGTCTATAAAGAGATAAAGTCAGAAAAAAAAGTTTTTTCTGGTGTGCAGAAAAAAACTGCAGGGTGAATGGCAGAAGATCTTGGTTCCAACTCTGCCTGTTAGTATTTGCAATACCTGAGGTGTCCCTTGATCTGTTTTGAAACTCCTATTGTACTGTGTGAAGAGCATAATCACACCTGCCTTACCTACCCCCTGGGGTTGCTGTGAAGATCAAATCAGATAATATATGTGAAAGCACTTTGAAATTTATAAAGTATTATACAAGTGTAAGATGTTGTCTGTTGGCAGAATACTTCAGCGACTTAAAGAAATCCTACTGTGGTCATAAAGCAGATTAAGATAAGAGAGCTGGTAAAACTCATCATTTGTATTAAAAAGTTACTCAGAATACAGGGTACTGGTATTAACTCTGATTTAAAAATAATTTTTTTTTTCCTGTGAGAATGTCCTTTTTGAAACCTCTGTGTATAGCTGTGGAGTTTCCAATATTTCCAGGCTGTTTCCTTTTGAGTTCACCATCTACCATCTGCCCCCATGCTTACAGACAGCCAGATTGATTGCCTTCTGAAATGTGATCATCCTCACTTGCCCTTCAGAAGTTATACTTTTTTCTACTTAAAGGGCTTGCTCCATGGAACTTTGAGCACTCAGAACTCTTACTATCTCTCCAGCTCCTGTTGGGTAAGGCAGAAGTAAACTATGGTGACTATATCTTTATTTTATTCTTTTCTTGCCATTGGGGACCTGGTAAAGGATTCTAGCAAACTGACAGTCAACAAAGTTGAGGTACCTTGAAATTATAATCAAACTGTATCTTTTTAGGGCATTTTTGTAAAGAGGATTATCATCTGCTAATGTTTTATTTTACTTGAAATTATAATATTTACATATATAAAAGTGCATCATTGTGCCATTGTTTTCAATTTCACAAATATCTTCCAATCTTTGTCTAAATGAATAGACAAAGGGCATAGTATTTTGAATTCCCTGGGAGGATGGTATCTGCCAGATGGGTTCTCAGAATTCTGAATGGATCCAAAAATCCTAATCTAGGCAACAATAGGGGTGGACAGGAGTGGCTTGCATTCTTTGGCAACTATGTCCTCAAATTTCGAAAGCTCAGGGTGGATGGAGGGTGAAGTAGAAAGTGACTATGGGCGCTCAGACAAACTAGGAACCTCAGTGGGGAACAGTGAGGAAGATTAAGTTCATTTTATAAAACAAGATGTAGGTAGATATTTTAAGTAAGATAACATCTGATGCCAGTAAGCTGTTTCTCACACACCCAGAACAAACAAGAAACAGAAAACACAACAAAAGTTAACACCATCTCAACAAAAGCACCTCATCATTAGTTAATAAATTTTAATATTAGTTTGATAAAGTTCTCATAACGTTTAAAAGCGAAAATTTCAAATATTTTAGGTTGACATGAGTTTTACTAAGGGGCACAAGATGGGAGTTTTTCGTTGTTGTTGTTTACGGGAATGGGACATGTGTCGCATGGCACAGACCCTGTGCTCTTTTCAAGGATGAAAGATCATAAATGTTAAACTTTGGAATTAAACTGGCACCCCCACAGGCTCCCGTACTACAGGCAGTACTTCCTATGTACAGCTGCCCCCATCAGCACCAACTTCCTAAACATCTGCAAAAGAACAGGATGTACCCAGCCCTCGCTAATCCAGCCCTTTCTTTCAGCTAAAGGAAACCCACAAGGCAAAGGAAACTGCAACATAAGTCAGACTCCGCTAGTTTTTGCGGATAACCATTGACTTCCACAGAGTCCTTTCCTTCCTCGGAAAGTACATTCAATAAACGTTGCTTTACTTCAAGCCTATGAGTCTCTGTGGATTCTGGCACAACTCGCCTCGAGCTAACCCAGGTCTCTTGTCCACCGGGTTAAAAGGTAGCCAGAAACACACACAGGCTCCCTATAGAACGGAACAACTCCCACCCTGCCCCCGGGGCCCCCTCCCACCTTTAGAACAGATCCTTAACTTTGCAGTCAGTGAGATGATTAGAGAACGTAAAATGACCAAATAGAAAACATCTGAAAACTATCACCAAAAAGAACCTTGCTGATTCGGACCGAGGCGGAAGAAAAGCCCCTCCTTAGAGCTCTCTGCGCATCAGGATTGACACCAGCGGATCCTGCAGCGCTTTAGGGTAGAGGA